GACTAACTGGAGTGGCCTACCCAGTAGATATGGCTAGTTTGATGATGCCTTGTTTGGTTTAATACTCAAGCTCTTCTTCAGTTTTCTCCCCACTAAAGAAATAATGTATACAATGTGCAAAGGTACACAGTAGGTACTCTGGGAGATTTGGGGCAATGGCTGAGCCTAGATGGGAAGGGACCAGCTCCCTTGGAAAGTGACCAGGTCTTTGGGGAAATATCTTGAGAGATCTCTTTGTGGCTTTTCCTTGGTTGAATCATTCTGATGTCTCAACTGTCTTGAGACATCATTCCCAAAATGATAGCTGACATCATCTACAACTATGTGGTTGATTGATGGAATTTGAAAGCAAGTTGGTCCCAATAAATTTGTGAAAATAGTCTGTTCAAACTGTGTGGACACAGCACAACCAGAGACAACTCCAACATTCTGTTTGGGGGTTTTATGCCTGAGTATTGTGGGGACTTTGGAGCTCAGAGCTTCTGGGTTAGATGTAGATTCTGACATCGACCACCATGTGACTAAGCAAGATACCTGGAACCAGACAATGGGAATTGTGTGGTGTCATCGGTACTGTGTTTAAATGTCCGAGTTTTGAATGAAGGACTCTCTCAGGCAAGTCTGTCAGCGTGTTCTTGAGTGTGGGAGCAGGGACGGTATGTCAGAAATGAGGTGGGGATGTTCTGGTGCACACATTTCCTAGGTTTGTGGCCTGTGTTGAAAGAATGTTCTAGCTGCCTATTTCTGTTTGAAATTGCTTCTTCATCCTCAGGCCTGTGCAGCCACATGGCTTCACCTGCCCTCTTACTGGGCCATCAACCACATGAAGCAGGGCAGCCGGAGAAGTCCATTGTAGACCCCATATTCAAGCTGTTGAGACAAATGGTGTAGTTCTCTGGCATCAAGGCCCCTCACTGGCCTGTTGGTTTTGCTAGAGAGATTCCAATCTCTGAACCTCTGACTGCTGTTCCTGGCAGCACTCACATTTACAAGGAAACTGAGAAGTTTATCGAATGCCTTAACTTTCCTTTTACAAAGAAGTAAGAAAAACGGGATCATGAAAGCAACCTCATTGGAATTTTTAATAAGAATTTAAACATAGCAGATCTCCTTTTATCAAGTAGATTTTGGTATATAAGCATTAGAAAAAATGAAAGTGAACCATCATATGTCCTTTTAGCAAAATGAGATGGTCTGAGTTCTTGCTGCAAAATACCACCAATGAAATCCTTTCCATTGAAGGGGTGAGAGCACTATATTTTATTTATTTATTTTTTTAGAGAGGGTGGAGAGAAAAAGAGAGAGAGAGAGGAGGGGCAGAGGGAGAGGGAGAGAGAATCTTAAGCGGGCTCCATGCCCACCTTGGAGCCTGATGTGGGGCTCAGTCTCACGACCCTGAGATGATGACCTGAGCTGAAATCAAGAGTCCGATGCTTAATCAACTAAGCCACCCAGACACCCCGAGAGCACTATATTTTATTTTTGTACTTAGAATTATATTACTGACTCCTTGATATTTGAATTTGGGGAAATTCATCTGGTTATCATCATTTGAAGGTCCAGAGTCTAAGATTTCAATTGTACAAGCAATTTCACCATTATTGTTAGCATCTAGGGGGCTACTCTCTATCTCTTTACATTCCTCTTCTGATTCATCTAGTTATTGTGAAACATCTTCAATGTCAATTTTCTTCTCTTTGTCATTGGTAATAGAAAATGAAAACTTCTAAATTTTTAACTACATTCAATGAAAGCTAGAAGCATCTTACAAAGAAAGTGTCTCCAGTCTTTTTAAAAAATACCTTCTTGAAAGGTAATGCGATATTTGGGGCACTGAAGAATGATGACCTATCTTACCACTTCATCTTTCTTCTAGATAATGCCACCATTCTCTCATTGTCTTATTATATAACTCTTTTTTATGATAGTTAATAATTAACAAGTAATGATGAACCAATTCCTTGAATGATGAAATAGCAAAATGTTTCAAGCTATAGGAAAAATGAGATCACAGAAAGCCCGTAATGTATTTTGGATTTATAAAAGGATCCAATGAATCCATATAGTGACAATAAGATAGAATGACTTTTATTCTATTTTCTTTTCACAAATAAATATCCTTTTTGTTCTTTGGAAGACCTCTTAAAACATGTAAAAGTCATGAAATATCAATCCTCACAAATAGAGTAAATCCTGCTGAAAAAAGAAACTCAAGAACTAAAATTGAGTCGGATGGACCTTGAAGGTGTCCTAAGGGTTAACTTGAAGTGGAGAGGCTTAGAGAGCTTTAGAGTGGCCTCACCGATAAAGACCCAGGGTCCTCTAGATGCTGGTTTTGTTCAAAATAGATTAAAAATTTCTCAGGGTATGGATCAGAAGGCACAGGATATCTGACAACAAAATATGTACTTATTTAGGGGGCCTCTGAGTGGCTATTCCAAGTGCTAACTCCACTCAAATTTCAAACTGGAGGAACGATTCAACTGGCATCCGGAATCCTTGACAGCCACTCAGAACTGCCTTTTCTTTTCCAGCCCTTCTTCTGAGCACAGATTACATCCTGTAACTATAAACTGTAAGCGTTATGGGGCAAGGCAAAGAAACATGTACTTTATTACATCTAAAATTATTCAACACCCCATATCCAATCCACTTGAAATCTATTGCAAAATCCAGAACACTTTTCAAGAATGCTGGAGGCACACAGACCCAAGAGTTAGCCACAGTGCCCCCTGGCATGATCATAAGGTGATGCTCAAGCCAATTTCTGTGACCGTAGATCATTTACAAACAGTGGAACCTCCATTCCAAGATGAATTTGGTTTCTTCCTAGGTCTGGGGAGTTCCCCGACTACAGACTATGGTAAGACCTTTTTTATTTACTTGTCTTCCTAGAGTTTTGCTTACTGGCTGGGCCAGCCTGTTGTTCTGCTGCTGTTGGCTTGTTGAGGCTGAGTACAGCCTGCCTTTTAGAAAGCAGGGATGGGAAGAAAGGGATCAGGGGATGCTGAGACCCTAGGCATGTATCAGATGCACACTCAGCCAGTCTCATCTGTCATTCTTCTTCCTTCTTCTCTCTGCCTCTTAGTCATTTGTTGCATGGGATTAGCTTCAGCTTGGTGTCAGGAGAGATGGGTGACAAAAAGCCAGTGCCTCTTCTTACCACTAGTGACAGTTATCTTGAAGATAACTAACATCCCACAAGCACTTGCTATGTACCCTGGACAAAATTATTTTCATATACCAAATGAGTTAGTGTATAAAAAAATCATTTAAAATACTGATCAGTGCATAATAAGTGCTCAACTAATGTACATAATATGCGCTATTATCATGAAATCTTTCCAACATTTTGAGGTAAGTAATATTATTACCCCCAAGTTGAAGATGGGGAAACTGTGGCATAGTTAGGTCACTTGTCAACAGTTATATGTCCCAGGTCACAGGGTGGCTAAGTGTTTGGGCAGAAATTTGAACCAAGAACAGGCACCTTTGCCTCTGTCCACTATTCCTACTAAATCTATCCATCTCTCCTCAACCTCTGAGTGAATGCACACATTTTGCACTGAATTTGGTATGTCAGAGTCCTTGATGTGCTCACTTAGGACAGCGGACCCTGCCATAGAGTTCTTGGCTCTGTTGAGGCCAATCCCTGCCCTTTCAGAGCATGCTCTGAGAGTCCAGAAGTGGCCTGGGACGGGCTCTAGTGGAGCTTTCTGGTGATTGACACCCAGCAAAGGGCAGGCTGAGGCAGGGAGACTGAGAGCTCTTCTGAAGGGGCATTCACAGGGGTGACCAAAGAGGGCAGCAGGAAGGGCTGTGGAGGCCTGCAATGCACCTTGGGAACACCCTAGAAACAGCCCAATTGGCTTTTCCTCACTCTTTCCCTGACCTCTTCCCTTATAACAACCACAGAAACCACCTGCCCCCTGATCTTACATCCTATTCCAACCTCTCTGGTCACTGCCTGACCACAGATTTCTCATAAACTCAAACTAACCACTGAAAAACCATACCTAGGACTCAGGTCCTGCTGTCATGACGTTGGGCTGTATCTCGGGAACTGCTCCCTGTTTTCTTTGCAAAATCAGTGCAGGTGGTTTAGCAGGATCATGTCAGGCTGGAACATGGTGCTCATTATGGTGGCACTCAGGCTCTGTCAGCCCTCACAAGAGGCTTGAAAGGTGAGTTGAAGCCCACTCTTGGATGAATGCCACCTGAGACTTGACCCTGATGGCAGTGGAGAGTACATTGAGGACTTTTGAGCAGGGAAGTGAGTTGAACATATCCACATTTTATAAAGATAAAACTTGGGACATTCTAGGGGAGACAGATAAATCCTGTCAGCATAGGAGTGGGCACAGAGTAAGCATTCCATAAATGCTTGTTGAATCTATCAGTGTAGATGGATTAGAGAGGGAGGAGGTGGGGCAGGGAGATCCACGAGCAGGCCCCTGAAAGTAGGCCAGATTCAAGAGAAGGAAGGTCTAACCTAGCAAAATGGCGGTGAGAATAAAAGGAAAGACCACCTTGTTGATAAGTTGGATATAAGAGGTACAGAAGGGGAGGAACCAAATATAACAACCAGATTTCCAACACAGTCCTTGTGGAGCACGGCTTGATTCAAGTGGGATAAAGAGACTGTTGGGTTTGGGATGGTGGGATGGATGTCCAGGAGGCCACTGAAAATGTTGGTCTAGAGCCTGGTTGGGGTTGTAAGGGCTGATCAGCACTGAAGACGTGGATTTTGGGGTCTTCCTCCTAGAAAGCTCTCAAGAGTACATGAGCTCTTTCAGGGGGAAGACAGCAGGAGAAGAGAGCTAAGACAGCACTTGGTAGAGCAGCGAAACGTAAGGTGTGGGAGAGGAGAAAACAGGTGAAGGAGATGGGCAGTGGTCAGAGGAAGGAGGAGAGCAGGGGGTGCTGGTGAGTGAAAGCCAGGGAGGCAGAGAGAGTGGACGAGGGCTTTCCACTGTGTCAATGCAGGTTTGCCTCTGAGGATGGTGAATGGAAGTGACTGGTGTCAGGGTCGTGTGGAGATCCTGTACCAAGGCTACTGGGGTACCGTGTGTGACGACGACTGAGACACCCAGGATGCAGATGTCGTCTGTCGGCAGCTCGGGTGTGGCCTTGCAGTGTCGGCACCAGGAGGGGCCCACTTTGGTCAGGGCTCAGGGAGCATTCTCTTGGGCTTTGTATACTGCTCAGGATGGAAGCCCTACCTGCTGAGCTGCTCCCACAGCAGGTGGTACAACCACGAATGTAGCCCCAGGGAAGACGCCGGAGTTGTGTGCTCAGGTAGAGCTGATCTCACCTCATCTGTGCCACTCGGACGAGAGGGGCTCCTGCTGACCTCTACATCATTTTGCATGGGCATAGTGCTTTGCGTTTTATATGCTTTACTCTAGGTCATGTCTTATTTGATGTTAGAGGGCAGGTCCCTTTTCGAATAAATGGAGGCTCAGAGAGGGCAAGTAGCTTGCCTGGAGTCCTAAAGCTGGGAAGTGGTGGAGGTGGGTTTCAATCTCAGCCTCCTCCAGAGTTTGCTAATGTAGTCACCCAGGGGTATTGTTCTGATGATCCCTGCCCTGGGGTGACAAAATACCTTCCTAGGTGGCATTTTCTCCTCCTTTTACAGTCAGGAGAGAAGGATCAGAGACTTCTGGTCCTTAAAACTTAAATATATACCAAAATCAAACAAAGAAGTAACCAGTATGTTCTCTTTATTGGGGATTAAATGACCAGCTAAAGATATTTACACCCACAGTGGAAGAGAGAAATTCTCCCTGACTCAACCTAGCAAAACCCAATGCTGAGTTTCTCCTTTGTGTAGAGAGGGATGGTAGGTGTTCAAGTACCAAGACGTCTTTTAATCCACAAAGAAACTCTGAGAATAACAATCATTGTGTCCCCCAAAGGGGGTTTCCTGGCTAAATTGTCCATCTTTAGAGTGATCTCTGGCATTTGTTACGTGGCTTGGTGTGTGCACATGCCACCATGCATGGAATGTGACCCTGATAATCCAACTATCACATGAGAATGGCTTCCCCCAGAGAGTATGGCTCTCCAAGCAATCACTTTGGAGTGGGTTTATTTTAGCATTTGGGGATGCATCTTTGAAAACTGCCTTTCTTCTTAGTTGGGGCCACCTTCTCAGGAATACCTCAGCAATGGTAGGTATTTGTCATTTGAGGGTGTGGGTAAGCTACAGAAATAGGTACTTGGTATTTGAAATGTGATCTTGTTAATCAGGTGGGGCTTTTAATCAATGGAGTGATTTTTTGGTTGAAGACTGAGGAAGCAGAGGGATGGGAGGTTGATGGCAGGAGCAAAGAACATCTCTGATGGCATTCCAGTATTGAATAAGGGCTGGCAAAATGACAGAGAGATGAATTTTGTCTTGTAAGTAAGAAACACAACCTTTTAGCAGTTGGTAGGGTTTCTGGGTCTCTGCATCCAGCCCTTGTTTCAGAGCTGAGGAAGCAGAAGGCTGGCTCTTCTCAAATGAGGGACAACATTGAGTGACCTCTTTTTTTCTCCCCTCTGTAGCTTCTTTGTCTCCCACAGAGGCATCCCTGGCAACAATTGAGGAAGAAGGTAACATTTTTTATGTGGGATCCCTATGGGCTCATTACCTGCACCCATAAGGTCATCTCTGATCCAGAAAAGGTGCAAAAGGTATAAGAGATAAGGGTACTCAGTTCCCAAGGGGGAACCTCTGAATAAGGCCTTAGGCCTAAATGGGTAAACCTTCCATGAACCATGTCCCTGAGTTTGGGGAGGGATCAACCTGCACAGGTACTTCCAAGGAGTTCCAAGGTGGAGCTTGGTGTCCAGTCTCCAGGGGGGTCCTGTTGCTCATGCTCAGTGCTTACCCTTGTGGTCCTCACCACTGCATGCTGATGCCTGGCCAGGCTGGGGTGGCGGGTCTCTGGCTGCAGGTCCTGGAAAGGCAGGAGCAAACCTGATGGGGCAGCATACTTGCCTGCCTTTGCCCTTTCCTGAGCCCATATCAGGCCACCTTGGTTTCTTCTCAATACGAGGAGCCATGGTCCTTCAGCTTATGGACATCAGAGGTCCCATGCACCTCCCCTGGGGGCATCTCCAATGAGAGAGCTGGGAGGTAGTCAATAGAGCTCGAGTTTTTGGCAACCTGAGCTTTGGGAAGGAAAGTCACAGCCTATATCCCATGGGAAACTTTCACCCTAGGACAAGAGAAGGGTAACCTCCCCATGAAGGCCCCTGACCAGAAGTCAGCATGGATCAGTTGGGAAACTTAATGGTACACATGTCACGCATTTCTGTTCCCCAGATGTTATGATTTCCTGTCCCTAAAGCCCATGGGGTGAGGTTTGACTTTACCACCTTCTCTTCCATAGATGTCACTAGAGCTGAGGATGAGACTGACTTTATTATAATTTAGCCATGTCTCTTCCCAAGATTCTTATTTGCAGCACCTATAAGAGGAGAATCTGCTCCTTTCTATAGTGGTTTCCCATGAGAGCCCTGCTATGTATTAGGAGTAACAGCTACCTGACAATTTCTTTGGTACAACTAGTCCATCCAGGGTGCAAGCAAGGGGCTCAGGGGCTTGCTATCTGACTACGACACAGGACTGTAGATAAGACTTACCTAGAGCTACTCTTGTCAGAACCTCGACTGTGGGGTAGAGGTGTGGTCACATTTCCTCTAGATCAAAAAAGACCTCATGTAGAAACCCAATAGGGATTTCAGAAATGCAATGAATGCTCTGGTGGCAGTGGACTAAGAGGAGCTCTCAGGTCTTCTTTTCATAAAGCCCCAGCACCTAGTAGGCTCTTGCTGGGGACTGGGGCAAGCATCATGGTTTCTTGAAGCAATTTAAAAATCATAGGTTTAAAGCTACAATCGTACTTAATGGGTAAACATAGAAACATTATCACTAAAGTAAAAAGGTAAGAATGGCCTTCAGGCCCCCTGTCATTTAACAGTGTACTAGAGGTACTAACCAATACAATTAAACAAGAGAAATCAATTGGAAGCATAAGGATTAGAAAAGTTATTTTTGGATCTGTCCGTGGAGCTCTGCATAAGTCACATGTGGGATGGTCAGAATCAAGGTCAGGAGGTTGATAAAGAGATATTCCCCCCAAAATAGCCTTGTAGAATGAAAGAATTTGAAGCTAGACAGGTTTGTTCCCTTTCCCAAAGTCACATAGCAAGATAAACTCCCGGTCAGAAAACATATCCTTACAAGATTCTAATTTAATTTGAGTCCTTGATTCTCCTCAGAGAGGACCTAACTATACATTTTCTGTTTTTTCCCCCTCCTTCTACAATCTATGCAGACAGCACTACAGAGAATATGATGGCTACTCGTGCAATAGGTAATGAATAATTTTATTTGGTTCTCTCTCTGTAGGTAATGATGGAACTGTATACGTGGATTTCGCACTTATTCAGGAAGATTTCTAGGGGATGGGGTGAGAGGGTGTTGTGTGCAGATAGAAAAAAGGAAGATCCCATGTGGCCCTGCCAAAAAACAAGTTTCCAAAAACTGTCTTGCATGATGTCTAACTCTGGTGTCTGCATTTGTTGACATATCCAGCCACCACCTGGATCCCCACCTCTGCAACTACAACATCACCGATAAATAAATATTTCATTCCAACCTCACAGGATCATTCTCAGTTTCTAGATAAAGTTTGGGTTTACAATGGACAGGCGTCTTTCCTTATCTTTGTCCCTGTGTGCGTGTGTGTGTGTGTAAAGTTAGGGGATAGAGAGAGAACTCTCTGAATATCAAATCCTGGGTCTGATCTTAGAGGATGGCCTGCCGACTCCATTGGGATCCTGGCCTTATGTTCAGGAAAGGTCCTCACCCAGGTGCTCAGTGTAAGCCCTGGAGGCCTCTCAAGGGCTGGGACCATGCTTTTCTGGTGGCTCCAAGACCCATGGGGTAGAGCTTTGAGAAGAGGATGGACATGTGGAGTCCTGTACCTTGCAGGCAGGGGTGCACCATGTCCTGGATTTTGGCAGAACCAAGTCAGAAGCCACAGAAGCCAACAGTTGCAAAAGAAGGCAAGGGTGTTAACAATCTCCAGTAGATTTAGAGCTACATACTGGATGTACCCACTGTGGATTTGGCCTGTCCACCAACTCACCTCCATCCAGGTCATGCAGTACTTCCTCCCATGGGAGCCTCCTTACCCTTGAGCCCATTGGGATTTCTCTGCCCCTTTACCTGTAGTAAAGATTAACATCTGGGCATGCTGAAAGGTCATCACCTGCCCAGGGAACGTAGGCCAGGAAGAAGCCCCTGGGTCTTCCCAATGTTTTAAGCTTATGAGCTTAAGATACAGATGGAGGAGAATTTCTGTTCTTTATCCCTCAGGGACTGAGTCAGGTTTGGCCCTGAGGCTGGTGAGCGGAGGGGACCGGTGTCAGGGGCGCGTGGAGGTCCTGTACCGAGGCTCCTGGGGCACCGTGTGTGACGACGACTGGGACACCAATGACGCCAACGTGGTCTGCAGGCAGCTGGACTGTGGCTCGGCCACTTCGGCCCCTGGAGGTGCCCATTTTGGTCAAGGCTCAGGGCCAATTTTCCTAGACGACCTGCGCTGCTCCGGGCATGAGTCCTACCTGTGGAGCTGCCCTCACAATGGCTGGAACTCGCACAACTGTGGCCATGGAGAAGATGCTGCTGTCATCTGCTCAGGTGGGGATGAAATATACCCATCTCTCTCTCTGAGATGGTCTTTGAGGGGAAGAAACACATCATCCACAAAAGGCCCACATCCAACACTCTGAGATATTCTGTGCCTCCCAAGGTTTCTAGAGGCAGCAGGCAACTGAAGTACAATGGAAAAGAAAGTGTAGGGTCAGTGGTCCTCGCCTGTTTGGTCATCAACAAAGAAGGGCCAATATTACTTTGCAGCTACATGGCATAGTGGGTGAAAGGACCATCCCCAGTTCAGTGGGCAGAGAAAAATGGGCCTCTTCCATCCAACAGAATCATCTGCTCAGTCTACACCCCATTTCCCAGGGCCTTACATATCAAGGCGCAGCTTTTGGGAGTATGGTTGGAAAATGAACCACCTTCACACCTTCGTGGTTATATTTTTCTGAGTCCTCCATGAAGCCTATTTGGAGAACAAATTGCAGTGTACATTGTGAATTTGGGAGGGCAGTGAAGAGCAGTTGGGAAGTGGGGAAGGTACAGGCAATGGCAACTCACTACTACATGGAATGCTAAAGAAACACATAGGAATATAGAGTTGACTCTCTATAGAAATGGAGAAAAACCATGTAGAGACTGGGAGCATTGCCCCTGGGCTGGTGGAAATGGGGTCTATCTAGACCAACTGCCCAGAGTCCTTCTTGCTGTTCATATGCAGAGCGAATGCAATGGCTTTGGTGGCCTGTCCTGGGCCTGGCAAGGACATTCCACCTCCTGGAATGCCAGCCCTCAG